TATTATTAATTTTAGTGCCTTTTCTTTTTAGCTTACAGAAGTTCCTTTAACATTTCTTTTAAGGCCAGTTTAGTGGTGATGAATTCTTTTTGCTTTTGCTTATCTGGAAACCTCTTAATTTCGCCTTCCATTATGAATAATTACCTTGTTGTGCAGAGAATTCTTGGTTGGCAGTTTTCTTCTTTCACCATTATGAATATGACATGCCACTCCCTTCTGGCCTGTAAAATTTCTGTAAAAAAAATCTGCTATTAGCCTTATAGGGTTTCCTTTGTACATAATAAGTTGCTTTTCTCTTTATGCTTTTTAAGATTTGCTCTTTTTCCTTTACTTTTACCATTTTAATTATAATGTTTCTCAATTTGTTTCTCTTTGGGTTCATATTATTTGGAACCCTTTGGGCTTCCTGGACCTGGGTATCTGTTTCCTTCCTCAGATTCAGGAAATTTTTAGCTATTATTTCTTCAAATAATTATTCTGGGCCTTTCTCTCTTCTCCTTCTGGGACCCCTAAAATGCAGAGTTATTCCACTTGAAGTTAGGATATGTTCTCTTATTTTTCACATTACTTTTTCAGCCTCTGAAAAGGTCTTAATTATAAACTATGTGTCCTGTGGTGGGAAATGACACTATGTGAATTCATCTCATGATACTAATGTTCTGTATAGTTTTTATCTTACAGACCCTGAGTTGATAATATATAGTATCTTTCACACTATATTTCTCATGCAATTAAAACACCTTTCAGTGCAAATAGCATAAAAATTATTCAAAATGTTGCTTTAATGTAATATGTTTTAAAGTACCTTTTATACTTGGGGAATGAATTAATTATTTAATGCTAATCTCCCTTTATGAGATATTTTTCTTATATAGCTGAGAGAAGTCATCTAAAGGTTTAGCAATATATTCAGCTTCAGATAGCCCACCAAATACATCACTCTTAGAGTAAATAGGTAGATCGACTTGGATTAGGTCCTTTTTTAAATCTCCTTTTTCTACTGGAACTCAAGGAACTGATGATGAGGAAAATGGCTTTTTGATTTCTTATGCTTTTAAACTTATGGGAGTCTCTCAAGAACAACACTGTGAACCTTTATAGATATAATTCCAAATTTGTTAATCTATAACATTGCTTTCTCAGAGAACTGCAATGAAAGATAAGAAACTCACTTGATTAAAGTAGCCAAAGAAACCTGACTATGTTAGGGTTTATAAGTCATAATCAATAGCGGTAATGATATTACTGCTTTCATGACAATAATATTGTCCTTCCTACTTGAAAATGACACCACTGATAGTAATTACTATTTGTGTGCACACTGTAGTTGAAAAGACCTGTGTACAATCAACAGTTTTTCCCAGTGTCTGCAGCAAAATACCTTTATAGCTTAGAACTATGAATCCTTTCTTCACTTTATAAGTAAATCTGTATTTACATTAAAGAATGACAGGTCATGCTAAGACCAACTCAATTTAAAATCAGAAATGGTATCTCCACTGCAAATTTAAAGTGTTCTTTTTAGAATATTGCACATCTGGTTTTGATACTAACATTTCATATCAGAGTAGGGGGATTGTGATTATTAAACTGACCTAAAGTTTCTTTTGGTTCTTTGTGTAGTGTGTTAGAATAATACAAACATAGTCACACTGACAAGTATCTTCATCCTAATGATTTTCAAATTAAGGAATGGTTTCAAATTAGGAAAGCTTTTTGTTCACCTAGCTTTGAAATAGCATGATGTATGCTAATTGCTAACTTCGTCTGCATTATTTTTTAAAGATCAAATGGGCACAGTGGTAATTTTCATTAATCTCATACAGAGCAGCTAATTAAAATTTCCATTATTATCCATCCATTATCTAGTTGTTTCCTTTGTTCAGTATCAGAACAGGATGTTAATAATAAGCCATTCTTGTATTACAACCCTGTTAAATATAGTGAGAATTAGTGTAATCTATTGCGTTGTTTTGGTTTTAGATGACTTCTTTAATATTATGCTGCATCATATTGATTATGCTGAAGATACTTTGACATATTGTAATAGAGATTTCAGAATCAAATGCTTGTTGCTTTAATTTTTTACTCAATATGGAGACAAAGTGACATTAAGTAGAAAAAGCAGTAACCCAAGGCTCACAATGTTAGTGTTTTATTTCGCAACTTCACTAATTATGTGAACTTGGGAAATCAGCTTGATTCTCTATTTCTGTAATGTGGATATTAGGAGAGCTGATCTTTAAGGACCAGTCCAGCCTTCCCATGGTATAATAATTCATAATTTCCAAATATGAACTTATGTGAAAACCCCAAAGTCCTTCTGAGTTATAACACACATTTGTTCTATAAAGTTACATATTTTCTGTCTTACTCCATTAGGTTGTTTGCTCCCATTCCTTATAACCATAGAGTATCCTCAATTATAAACCTGTTTCTAAGACTTGGAGGAGGGGTGAGTCCCAAGGTGATGGGCTGGCATAATTTTTCCATAGAGTATCTCACCCACAACCATGTAGAAGAAGGGAAGTAACATTTTCTGAGCACCTTACTCTGTCTGAGACAACATGTGTCAGACGTCTGTTTTAGGCACTTGATATGCATTGTCTTAATCCTCCTAATAAATACGAGGAGTAGGTGTTTTTCACCCATATATCATGAATGAGCAAACATGTTTATAGAGAGCAGTTCAGTCAGCTGCTCAAAGACTACCTAGAAGGTAAGGGGGCCATGATTCATACCCAGGGGCAGTTTGAGCCATCTCCAACATACTATATACTGCCTCAATTTACCTGTTGTGTACTAGCATCTCTGAATAAATTGTAATGGAACCTCTCGGAAGTATAATATTCAGAAGCAAAGCTAAACTGGATTTGGACCTGAATTTGGAAGGTTCAACATGTTGAAACTCATCAGTCATTCACCCATTTCTTACTCGCCGTTCACATATCCGTCTTTCATTCAAGAAATATGTATTGAGTACTTAGCATATGCCAAGCACTGTGTTGAGATCTGGAGGTATAGCAGTAAACAAGCTAGGTGAGGTTCCCACATCCTGGGCCTTATGTTTTAATGAGGAAGACACAGTAAATGAGTTAAGTGCTAAAGCAGATAAACTTATATAAAGCTAATAGTATCAATGAGATTTGAAATGGTGTTGTGATGATAACTGCAGTGTGAAGGGCAGACTCTTGGGCTGAGACATAAATGATGAGAGCCAGCAATGGAGAGGTCAGGGCTAAGAGTCTTTCAGGTAGAACAGCAAATATAAAGGTCATTCTGCAGAAATGAGCCCTGTATACAAGCCTCTGAGAGTGGATCAGTAGGGCCTTGTCATCTAGTAATTTAGAAAACAAGTTTGAGGATCATATGAAAGTGATATGTGACAGGAGACCTGCAAAATTTTATACTTTAATGTTTACTTGCTATTATTCCTTGTGGTTCTGTAGCCTTAAGAGATAGGTAAATAAGTTATAGAAATGTGGAACTGATTTCACGGTGATGGCTTTACTCACTGCACCATCTGTGTGGTGATTCATTGAGTAGACTTCTTGAACATCTACTCCGTATCCTAATAAAGCAAGAAAAATCAAGTCAGTGGCCATTACACAAAATATGGGAACAAAAAGTATGAAATTGTATTCCTTGTTCTGTAATTGTTACAGACAGATTTCAGCCACATCACACTTCAGTTGAGGCTCACTACACTCAGTCACCTCGGTAGATACTTGGCATGCATGGAGCTCCAAGTCTAGAAGAGAGAGACACAAATAATGACCTCTGCACCAATGTCTTAAGTGCTGTAATAGTGATGGTGCCACAGTGGTATAAGGGAATAGAGTTCTCGTACATAAGATGTTATCAGACTTTAAACATTTACTATTTAATGGAATTTTAAAAAATTTATACATTAAGAATGGTTGACAATTTCCATATTCAGAAGGCATTCGCAATAAAAAGCCAAATAGTGTGAAACCCTAGGGAATCTATTTCTCATTATTAACATATTGTTTTTTTTTAAACTCTATATCCTCTAATGATACGACTTTTATCAAATTAGCAGAAACTGAGTGTAATTCATATGCATTTACAAAATGGGACTCAGGCTAGAGTTTTAATTCAGGAGGATATGTTTGTAATATAGAAAAGGGACAGTTATAAGTATGTATTTCTAGAATGTGAAACTTTGAGTTATTAGTACAGTGACTGTGTTGATGATGTTTTTCTCCCAGGCTTCTCCCCAAACTGCTTACATAGTTATGGCAAGGTGATGAAGGTAAGGAGCTGTGATGAGATAATGAGTTCTAGAAATAACCCCATGTATGTTGGAAATTAAGCTAAAAACTAGTCGCTATCAGATAAATGCATTTAAGGACTTTTAAAGATCAATCTACAGCCTGGGAGTAGCAGTCAGGATGGAGTAGCTGGAAATTGGTGAATGCTTTAGAGTAATTTGTTAACTAATATGGTAATTGGAGACTATAGTCTTGTATATTTTAATAACCATTTTCCCTTGTTTTTCAGATAGGCTGATACTGATATATTTCAAAAGATTTGAGTTATGTATAATGTTTTGCATTAAATTCTGTTCACTGTATTTTGCAGAACAGAATATAAATATTTTAACTGGGAAAATTAATAAGACGATTTCTAAATGTTCAGCCTGTGGGTTAAGGAGGACCTGCTAATGTTAATCCTAATGTCTGGGATTGTAAATTTAAGCATCCCCATCAGTGATAATGCCACTTTATGCCACTCAAGTCCATATTCTATTCAGGACATGTGCATCATCTGTGTAATTTTCTTTTAAATGAGACTGAGGAGAGTGTTGAGATACATACTACATGATTTTAGCACATCATTTCTATGACCAAGAATTTTTAAGCGACCAGCATTCTGTACACATTTTTATACAATAAAATTTTACATATTCTATGTGTGATTTTATATTAAAAAAGCCTTGTTGTTTGTCTAAAATAGTATCTTTTTTTTTTTAACAGGGAGGGCTGAAAAACAGCAAACATGAATGCACCCTGTCTTCACAAGAATACGTGCATGAATTACGATCTGGTATTTCAGATGAGAAACTTCTTAACTGCCTAGAATCTCTCAGGGTTTCTTTAACCAGCAATCCTGTCAGGTAGGTGGTTCTTGTTGTTTCAGTATATGATTCATATAATCTGTACTGTATATAATTGTTGGGAATATAATCAGCTATGTCATTTTAACCTCAAGATTTCCTGACAGAAGTCTGATGTTAGCTAATAAAACAATGTCTAATTATGAGGTTGTATACTTTTAAAAATATAGTTAATCTGATCTTTAATAATATACAATTTTAAGAATACAGATATCCCCTGGATGGTTAAATCCTCTTTGATTATTATAAAATATGGATCCAGAAGTTAAATATCCACATTTACATGAAAATCAGTACTCAGTGACCGTTCTATATTTATTTGTAAAATGAATTAAGTATAATGGCTTTATGGTATTATTCCTTTTTAACTTGAAGTAAATATATATTCTACAAGTTTTAGATATACTCTTCACACATTTCTGTAATTTCGGATAGCAAAAATTAGTTTGTCTTAACCAATAAAGGAAATAAGAAAGTATTAAACTCCTCAAAATTTTACACACTTAGCTATTACCTAGGGACAAAGGATTTTTAGGGAAGAAGTTCTTGCCAATAGTGGATTCCAATGACTGATATTTTATTAACCATAAAAAGCCTTTAAATTAATTACACCCCAAATGAAATGTTTTTATAATGAAAAGGAGATTTTCAGTGTAATATGAAACTATTCTGGGATCTAGTTACACAATTACCGAACTCTTAAGTTTGGAAATTACTGGATAAGAATATATAGAAACCGTATTTTGATTTTATTCTTGGTTTTCCTAATACGTGATAGGGCCCACGTCTTGTACTTCCCTGATCTATCCACAGAGCCTTGAAAATAATTTTAGAGCTCAGTTGTTTCATTTGGATTTATGTATAAATTGAAATATGCTACTTATTTTTACCTATGATGCATTTGGCAGAATAACTGGGAGAGTGTAATTCTACAATAAAATTTAAAAAGGTAGCTGCAAGATATATGACTTGCATTTGAATATGATAATTATTCAGAGGTGGCTGTCTTTCTATTTTTTCCAGAATTATTCTGGTTTTAATGATTTGAACAAGGATGTGAGTTTTCTGGGAACAGTAACCATGGTGGTTCGTTCCCCGCTCCCCTCCTCCCGTCACGCGCCACCCCCGCCACACACCGCTGCCGCTGCCGCTGCCCACAAGTTATAGTAAATTTATTGCTCCGAAAATTTCTGTTGAAGGGAAATAAATGAATACATGAGTCTTTAAGAAGTGACTATAGAAGTCGTGACATTTAGGAATGAAGTATGGGCAAACCTAGTAAAAAGGGTTTTTATAAAGATAGCGGGAAAGTTTTGAAATTACATACGGGTCTTTTAAAATGTAGCCGAGTAGCTACCGGATGTCTCCGAAGAATTCTGGGACCAGGCGAGAAGCTGGCAGGTCCTGATTGGGTAGAGGCAGCTGCATCCTGGCAGCTGATTGGCTCCACGGTTGCCAGGGGCTACTTGTTGCGTCACAAGCCCAGCATTCCGTGGTAGCCCACGCTGGAGGTCGGAGGTCGGAGCTCGGCGGCCGAACTCGCTGACTGGAGCTGAACGTCACCACCTCACCTGCTTGAGCTATCCTCAAAATGAGTAAGGATGGGTCTGGGAGCTATGGCAGCATCTCTGCCGTGGGTGGAGCCAGTGGAGGCAGTGACCCACCGCCTCTGGGCAGAGTAGCTCTTGCTATTAAGTCCACACGATCCAGGGTACGAATCCAGGATATTGTACCTTGTTGTGTAAGCCAGCTGCTCACCTCCACTCTGTTTGATAATGTCTTCAAGATTAGAGGAATCGAGATTTCCCAGGTCTCCATCGTGGGAATAATCAGACAGGCAGAGAAAGCTGCAAACTGCGTTCGTTACAAGATTGATGATATGACCGCCAAGCCTATTGAGGTTCGCCAGAGGATCGGCAGAGATAAAGCAAAGCAGGGGGTGACTCTGCTTCCAGTGGGGGTCTATGCCAAAGTGTTCGGTATCCTCAGATGTTCTGCGGAGGTGAAGAGCCTTGAGGTGTTGAAAATCCGCGTCCTGGAGGATATGAACGAATTCACCACACACATTCTAGAAACGGTCAACGCACACATGATGCTGGATAAAGCTCTCCAAGCGGCCTCTGGGCAGAGCACCCCTGTTGCTCCATTCGACATGGATGAAGCCCAGAAGCACAATGAGTGCCACCCCGACTTCCTCTGGAAGGAGGTGCTGCGTTTGATTCAAGAGTGTCCGCGAGAGGAAGGCAAGAGCATTGGTGAGCTCCTGGAGGAGCTTCCCAACCTGAGTATTGGGACCATCAAGCAAACCATTAATTACCTGACCACCGAGGGCCACATCTACCCCACCGTGGATGGAGAGCATTTTAAATCTGCTAACTGAAGCAGCGAAACGTTTTTTCATTTTTCGAAGACCCTTGCCTTTTGTTGTGACTGAGTTTGACTGTTTGACTTTTAGCAAGTAGTTTTCTTAAGCAAAAGATCGAAACTGACATCCTTTGGAACCTCACTGCTTTTACAGTTGCATTGGACTTTCCTGTTTTTCTAACTGTCTGTATTTGAAACTCAGAAGGAATTGGCAATGGATAAATTCACTGGCCTTTTTGTAGGATTTACATGCAAGCAAACGAAAACACTCCTTGACGGACGAATTTGGGGGAGAAAAGGTACAGAAAAAAATTGAAAAATTATTACTTAGGTGCATGGGAGCTTCTTTTTCTGAAATATCTGCATACTAGGAGAAAACAGATTCAGTCAAGGAGCCAGTTAAGATACAAAAAAAAAATACTGTTTTTACATTAGACTTATTTTCTGTTTGGATTTAGCTTATTCTAGTCATATTGTTATCTCTTGCTAAATATAGTGATTGATTAATTCATATGTGCTAAAGATAGCAATTTATGAAGTCAGGTACTCAGTTGAAGTGTTTACTGAAGGATTTGCTCTTATTACCTTAGTTTTATGTTTTTTAAAAGATACAGTTACACTGTGTTTAAATGGCAGGGTCACCTTGACTACTTTTTTCTTAAAATGTCATTAGTTTAATTATTGTGTCAAATACAATGTGCTATTTGGATTAAATTACAATCTCTTATACTTGCATGGTACACAGATACCAGACTTTGTTTTATTTCTAATGTATTATCTGCAGTACTAAGTGCTCTGTTTTATGTATAAGAAGATTTTATTCTTATAGGTTAGACAAATAAAAAGTAATTATAGGAGTATTATTAAGCTTAGCAAGTTTAACCAAATTTATTCAAACCTTTTATTAAAATACTTGCAAAATTTTGACTTTCCTGTGTGATTTTTTTCTAAATTCATTTGAAAAGCATTTTTTTTTGAATATTAATGTTAATTATCCGGAATAATTTTTTTCTCTTCTCTATATGATTATCAGTAACATAGGTTATATCTGAGTTGTAACAATACATTTTAGTATAGGTTATATTAATTATGTGAGGCTCTTTAAATAATTGAGTAAAGTAAGCATTTAATTGTACATACACTAAAGATGGTATCTTTCAAATTACTACTTTTGTTACATTACTGGAAAGAATATATATATATTCATTCAGACAGGTAGAAGAGAAAAGCATTAATTGTTTAATCACAAAAAAGGTGCAAAAACAGAAAATTTCTTAAGTGCACCATAGCCAGCAATCCATACTGTCAGAACACGGCGTCTCTTATGCCACTTGTTACAAAAACTTACCACCAATTCTTCCTTAAGATTCTGAGGCATAAACTTAAATTTTCTTCCCTTCAAAATTCAAGAAATCACGACACTCTTTTTGAAAACCACAAATGGTTTTAACATACTATAAACTTGTTTAAATTATCAGACATCTTTCGACTTTCTAGTCTTCATAAACATAGGAAATTCTGAACCACTCTTTGTTGAAAAGGTTGCCTGCCCTGGGGAAAATCATACTGAGAGAGAGAGATCAGGGGCATATTTCTTCCTCAGAATCTCAGAACAGAAAGAAATAATCTAAGAGACATAATGTTCTTTAGTGGTATCACTTACACAAATGCACAAATCCGGAGATTAACATCTGATATTATGACTTGTAGATCGTTCTCCTAGTTGTCAGAATTGATTCACCTGGCCTTTGGATGGGTAGCCACTTTTCCCCTCGTTCTAGGAATATTCCTTCAGAGCTAGGAAAACAGCAACCAAAAAGAAAAAGACAAAAAGAAAAAAAAAAGAAAAAGAAAAAAAAAGCCCTTTTTGGCTGCCTCTGTGCCCGGAAACTGATATTTTGCAGTACATCCACCTGAATTTAAGGCCAGGGACTACCCTCGCTCCTTTCACCATCCTTTGAGGGGAACTGTCCTCTGTCTTAGTTTTTTGGGGTTCTTTTTAGGTTTGTTAATTACCCAGCACCCTTCCCCCTCCCCCTCATTCTTTCGCTTTAGTGGGATTCTGCTGCAGGTAAGGGACTGCAATGGAAGAATAGTAAGCATGCCTAGCTACAATGTGAATGGAAATCAACAAACATTTTTAGGCAGAAAAGAATTGCTAAGATTGTCTCGTACATGCATATTTAGTGCATGTTAGGGGTAGCAGATTTTTAAAATTCAGTTTAAGCCATCCACCTGGCACGCATACTTCTTTTTCAATTTTGTTTAGCTGGTGAATAAACTTGGTCAGTACTCCCATTCCTCTTCAGTCTTGCCTTGTATCTGAGCCAAACCTTTGAGAATAAGTTAGAAATCTTGGGGAAATACAGTAGACTGTTTTGGGCAGGAACATTTCAGTCTGAAGAATCTGAAGAACATAATTGATGGTTATAATTCACTAGGGGTTGTTTTCCTATGGCTCATGGGCATAAGAAATGTGTGCATTTATGTTGAAGTTGATTCTAAATGAGCCGAATAAATAAATTTGAAAATGTTTTCAAGTCAAAGCTAGTATTATTGTCATAATTGTTAGTAACTGTTTTATTTTACCTACTAAATTTAGATTTAGGGGGGAAGGTAAAGCTCAGTGGTGCTCAGAGTGCAGGCTTAGCATGAGTGAGGTCCTGAGTTCAATCCCCAGTACCTCCATTAAAAAAAATTGATTTAGATTTTAATTGTAATCTGAGAAATACAAATTGTATTTTTACAATTTTCATTAACTTTTTATAATGACACATCAAAAACGGTAAACACTGAGAATTATTTTCAGTCATTAAAAGTTTAGTGAGTACCTACTATGTGCATTTAAGTTTTAACTTTCATTTTAATAAGCTTAAATTCAATTGACTTCTGAAATATTTATTAAAATAAAAATAGTTAATGTTTTAACATTTATATAGTACTTATTATCTGCTAAGCACTGTTCTAAGAGAGAGTGTGTGTATGTGTCTCTGTGATGCCTAGATTTATATTTCTAGCTCAGACATTTCTCTTGAAATTTAGATTCTGTCTCCAAATATCTTCCTGGATGCCCTACAGGCATCTTTAAAAACATTAAAAAAATCATAGCAAGAAACACTTACATATATACCATTTTACTCTCCCTTAGGAAATGTTCTAAGAACTTGAAATACACACATACAACCAAGCAATCATTATCATTACTATTAATATTGTTCTCATTTTATAGATGAGGCACTTGAGGCTCAGAAAGCTTAAGTAATTTGCTCCATTTTAATGTTACATGGTTAGTATCAGAGCTAAGGTTCCAACCCAGAGCCTGGGTCCTTAACTACTTCTTTGTACATAATAAGGAAAGTCTTTAAAAATATCCTCCTTTCATTCTTGTCACATACTAAATATTTTAACTTTATGTCTTTTATTAAAATTTGTCTGACTTGAATTAAAAAAAAAACACTGAAATATTTCAGTAAAAAATATAAAAGAGAATATAAAAGCACCTGTGTACTCATCTACTAGTTTAAGAACCAAAACTTTATTATAGTTGTAGAGAACTTAGCCATATAACTCATTAATTTTGAATGACACTCTACCACCCTTTGAGCCTACATTTTCACTGATTAAAAAATCATCTGAAAGGCTCCATCTTCTATAAACCAATGCATTTATTTTTTGAAGTGTAATATGTGAAGAATATATATCATTGTGTTGAAAAGTCTTTTTCCTATGACCTCATGGCTCTGTGTAGTGAAATTTGGGACTTCTTTGCTCTGTACATGATGGATGGTACTGCTAGTAATTCAAATGTATGGTATTTATTCCAATTTAGCATTATATGATAAATTAAGAAAACTTTATTTTACTATTGAGAGATAAATTTTTTTTTTCTTTTTGGTAATACCTGAAGTTGGAGCAGTTCAATGACTAGCACTTAATATTATGTAGTTTGTTTTTGTACAGCACATGGATATCCCATAAAGGAATAACAAATTCCCCTTGTCCATATGGGGCCTGTCTGTATGGAGCCTACATTCTAGTAAGAAAAGTCAGACAATTAAAATTTTATATATATATATATATATAAATAAATAAAATGTCAGGTTGTGATCTGTCCTGGGGAGGGAATGTTGCTATTTTATATCCTATGGTCAGTGAAGGCCTCCCTGACTTTAATGATATGTGAGCAGAGATCTCAAGGAAGTGTGGGAATGAGCTATGTTGTCCACTGGAGGAAGAAGAGTGTTAGAAACAGGAGACAGCAAGAGCAAATGCTGGGCCTGTTCCAGGAATGTCAGAGGCCAGTGGGGCTGGAGGCAGAGAATTGTGAGCCATTGGAAGGATGTCAGCTTTTACTCTCAGTGAGCTGGCAAGCTGTTAGAGGGTTTTGAGGAGAGTAATGGCCAGACCTGACGTAGATTTTTAAAGAATAACTTGGTACAAGCAGGAAGACCATGTTACATATACAGTAAAGGAGCTAGAAATCTCATAAGGATTCTAGGGACAGCCATATAGCTGTGCCTCATGGAGGCTGACACGGAAGGTCCCTTGACATCCCAGGGTAGTCCTAGAACCTGATTATTTTTGTTATGAGTCTTCACTTCAGCGGAAGAAATGCATGGCTTGTCTCCCTGATTTGTTCCATTGTTAACGTGGCCTCTACATGAGTCTGCTGCTGCTTCTGATATTAACTGCCTGGCTTTCTCTACATTACCCATTTTGAATTCTTTATGGAGAGACTCTGGTCCCCATTTGTTTCTGTTCGGGCAAAGCTTTTCATGACAGGCCACCTGAGCCTTCTGGCCCGCTTAAGTGCTTGCCACATCGCTGGTCAGGTGACCATCCCTAATCCAGTCAGTTTTGCCCTTGGTAAGGAGAAGAAGACAAGATGATGTGGTCTGGAATTTGTCCACCTCAGAAGGTGTTCCTGGAGAGTGCTCCCCTAAGAAGGAGACGTGAGCTTCTCTGGTACCAACCAGTGTAGGAACTTTAATAAGGTGAGAAAGAGAGTTATCATTATTTTTTAAATTGAAGTATAGTTGATTTACAATGTTGTGTTAGTTTCTGTGCAGCATAGTGATTCAGTTATACATATGTATACATATATATTCCTTTTCATATTCTTTTTCATTACAGGCTATTATAAGGTATTGAATAGTTTTCAGTGATGAACAGTAGCACCTTGTTTATCTGTTTTATATACAGTAGTTTGTATCTGCAAATCCCGAACTCCTAATTTATCCCTCCTTCCCCTTCCCCTTTGGTAACCATACGTTTGTAGAAAGAAAGTTATTGTGTGGTTATCTCCTGAAGGTCAAGGATTATGTTTTATTTATTCTCTGTATTCAGCACATAGCATTATTCCTGGTGGAATTAAAAGTTGAGTGAATGAAAAAAAGTAACAGACTGCTACCACAAAGTACCTCTAGTGTTCCCGTGTGTATGTGTGGGTTTGGAGAGCGGGGAGAAGATCAAGGAGCACCAGTGTCCTTTCTTTTCCTCTGAGTGTCCTGAGGATTCTTACCAAAGTCTAGTAAGCCACCTCCAAGCAATGGTTTCTTCTTGGACTTTTTTTCTACCATTTGACTCTAGACCGAAAGTCATTCTTCTTCCTGATAAAGGGATACTCTCCTCAACCTGCCCCCCCCCAATCAAATGGTAGTGGTGGGATATGTGTTTACATCACATGGTTAAAAAAATTCTCAAACACAGTGTAGTGTTTTCCCCTCTTGGGAACTCACAGTGAATGTTAGTATTGTTTTTTTAAAAAGGATTTTAGAAATCCTATAAGAAAGAATCATGTTTTAACTTTACTAATACAGAGTTTCCAAATGAGAAAAAATATTTTATTCCTTAGACATGTGAAGAACCATTCTATTGTGTAAACCACACTTTCTGTTTCCATCAGATTTA